GAGCCGATCACTTGATTTTCAAAAGATCGGAATCGGAAGAAAAAAATCGGCGATCGGGATTTTAAATTTTTTTAATTTTTTTATAAATACTTTTTATTTTTTTATTATTCAATGTTACAAAAAAAAAATGACCATGTTCAAGTCTTAAAGTCATCCTGAGGCCTTAGTTTTGGTTTCAAATGACACAACATCATGTATGTGTTGCTTCTTTGGGGCTTGTTTTCATAGACCTGGTTGCTTATTTCTCTCAAATCTGGCAACAGAGTGGGCAGGGCGCAGTGTCTAATTGTAGCAGTAAGCTAACGAGTACTGAAAGCTTTATTTTGTTTTGATCCAATGCTGCACAACTGAACTGATCCAATGCTGCTGTGAAAGAAAGAAGCTATATCCATGTTGGATAGAATATCCAATTTAAATAAAAAAATAACCTTAAGGGGCAACTTGAATGCTTTTTTTCTTTTTTTTCTCTTAATGCATTGCATAAAGATCGGATCGGGAAAAATCGGTATCGGCAAATTGTCAAAATCAAATGATCGGAATCGGATCGGGAGCAAAAAAAGGTGATCGGGACATCCCTACTTAAGACTGATCATGACAATGTAATCATTCATGGTTATACGTTTCCGTCTTATGTGGACATTGTATTTTGTGAATATAAATATAGCGTTGGAAAATATACGGTAACCCAAAACGAAGTGTTCATTTTAAGGATTACTGGGAAAACAAATCTGCATTGTTCAAATGTTTTTTCTTCTAATGTCAAGAAATCATATGCAAAGACCAAAAGCAACATTTGATTCATCCTGCTGATTCCAACAACAATTAAAGACACACCGAAAACGTCATTATAGTGCTGCATAACATGTTTCTGCATTATGATTAACAAGAATCTATCAAATCAATAAACAAGTAGCTTCAAATAGAAACCCAAAAACGCATTATTTACTCCGATCTGAGTAACATTTGTTAAAAAATATCACATTATTTGTTGGAATTAGCCGTTATATGGGATTTGTTCCTGGAGGAAAACATAGACTCATCATGACAGCCATCTTTTGACTTTCCGATGAAACAAATCTCCATGCGTTTACACTTCTTATATGTGAAGGTACAAAAAGCTTGCTTACATCATAGAAGTCTGTTTTGAATTTGATGGTGCTGAGGACCGGCAATCTGTGGCAGAGGGCGTTTGCTTCTCTGAGGATCTCGTGATTAAATGGCACCTCTCCTGCAGAGAATAAAGACAGAGGGGAAATATTAAAATACATGTTCAGCTCAGTATACTAAAACAAAAGAGGTAAGACTATGTGGTCAAAACAGTATCTTACAGAGGCTTGTAATTAAGGAGGTGTGTTCGAGGGGCCTGGAAACATCTTATCTATGAACAGCTGTTTTCCAAACTTATTTCCACATTCTTCGCTCTAACTGCCTCATTAAAAAGGGCTGTCGTCTCTCACCTGATTCCACGGCTTTGACGTACTCTAGGATGATCCTCACCCGGCTGTGGAGCATCTTGATCGCACTGTGCTGGGCTATGAGGTGCTCAGCCACTAGAGGAGAACAAACAGAGAGTGAGTTAACCCTTCGATGCCCGAGTGACTGGAGCCTACACTCTTCCATAAGTGGGTCAAAAAGGACCCGTATTAGAATAATATGTGTTTTTATGCCATTTTGTTTAAGAAAAATCACTTGTATAATATTTAGTATTATATTTTGGTTCACACTAGAAATATTTTATTTTTCACTATTTAGAAAAAAAAATTACATTTTGAAAAGAAAACGAAATTCCATAGAAAATGCATGCGGTTTGATTACACTTATGGAAGCTTGGGGTAGTAATACAAAAACTACAATTTCTTAAAATGTAAATTTTAAATGGCATGATATCCAAAACATGTTTTTTGTAATGTAATTACAAAGATACTCTAAGAGAACCCCTTCACCGGGTCAAAAAGACCCACTTATGCATCTAAGGGTTAACACCTGTTCAGACAAGTCATTTTTGATGACAGCGTTTAATATCAGTGTGGTCACAGGGCAGCACGTTCCTTTGAAATGTCCATCACTATTATCAGAATCCAAATGATCGTTATTTTGAGAAAAATTTCAGAAAAGGTTAACGAAGATGAAACGGTCACCGATTTAACCGTAATGCACGTAAACTTCTTGCTTATTTGTACATACCCATTAGATGTGTCTCCTGTAGCAAGTCCTTGCTCTTATATTTAATCTATTTTAGATTTATGACATTTAATATCTAATAATGAAGGCATCAGTACAATGTTAATACATTTTCTTTAATTATTACAGTCTATTTATGAATGCGTATATGTGCAAATAAATAAATGATACTACTCACAAAGACACAGCACAAAGTAGTCAGAACATTCGTGAACTAAAGTTAAAAAGTTCAATAGTATCTTCAGAAGCTACGAAAGCCAGAGGATGTAAATGTATCATAGTCTGAGACAAGAGCTGTGATAATGGCTGTTAAATAAATAATGTGTCTTAAAAGCAACCTTAAAACAATGCTAAAGTTCAGATGGTTTACAGGAGACATGATATTGTTGAGTATATAAACTCCCTCGCAGCGTTGAAGCTTCCAAAGGTAAGAACGTGTCCCAATAACTCGTACCTGTTGAGTTTTCTCCGGTGCCGGTGGCGGTCATTCGAGCTACGTGGTCGACACCGATTCTCTCCGCTTCCTCTGTGGCCAGAGTGTACGTCAGCTCAGCAAACAACATGGTAGCCTACGTTAAATAAAAACATGTCAGATCAGACTTCTCTGTAGGAAACTAGGTCACTGCTTTTGAAAATGATATTTAGACGGTATGAAATAAAAAGATTACCTCGCCGTTGATGATGTCAATCACAGATTCATAAACACTGACAGGAAGCTGGAGGAGAAAGAAAACCTTGTTAAAAGCAGCTCTATCTGATAAACAACTTATTTATGAGGGGGAAATGCAGAGAAACTCACATCTGTGTGTTTGGTCAATGGGTTGAGCTTGAGGAAGAGAGGGCTCTCAATGATCTCACACACCTGGCAGCAAGAGGGAAATAACAGTAAACTAAATGTAGAACACACAATCTGAAATAACAGAATTACAATTAGATCAGCGTTTCCGCCAGCGTCTCGCCGCCCTTATTCAGCTCGGAACGCCTGAACTCGAGCCGAGGGCGTCCAAAAATATTAATAATTCGAGAACAGATCGATTTGGACACGATGAGCACTGCGCCGGAGCCTCGCAGCGGCAAAACTGAGGCTCCGAGGTAAACTGTGGAAACACAGGGCTCGACATTATAACTGGCCCGCTGGCCCGGAAGCACTATTTAGACACCCCGGGCCAGCATAACGTATTTTCCACTTGCCCGCTCGGGCCACTAAAAAAAAAAAAATGGTCCTGTGTTTTAGTATTTTGACTAGAAATGTTGTTAAATTGTTTCGTTTATTAACGCTACAACATAGCATTTCGTGAAGTGGTTGTTGTTGTAGGGTGAAAAGCAAACAGCTGTTTGCTGCTGAGCGCAGCGCGAGTAGGTTCTCGTGAGCGAGAGCGCGCTCGTTCACTACCTCCTAACCATTCGCTTAAATGTTTTTAATACCAGCGGTAACCGGCCAAGCGCCGGGCAAAAAACAATCTTCAAATAAAAGCAAGTCACCGAAGGAGTTAAAGGAGAGTGACAGGTAGCATGAGAAGAAGAGGGAGAGAACGTTTCAGCCAGCTTGATCGATGGANCGCAAAGTTATTCTCCGTGGGGACTTCCGGCAACATGTTGATTCTGATTGGCCAGAAGACTCGAAAGAACATCAGCAAAGATGTTACAGAAGTTTTCAAAACCGTTTATGGTCTCCGTTACTTCCAGTCCAACGCCGACTGCATGCACAGCGTTAGAAAACCGGGCATTCAAAATAAAAGTTTTTTCCACAATTTTTTTTTTTTCTTCCCTCGCACATCTGTGACACACTCGAAACGGGTCCGTGACCCACTTTTGGTGCTGATATCATTGCCAGAGCTGGTTTTGAACTCCTAAACGTTTCCACTTTGCAATAGAACCACTTACAATTGATCGTGGAATATCTAGGAGAGAATACATTTAACGAACTGACTTGGTGGCAATGGTGGCATCCTATTACAGTACCACGTTCTAATTCAGTGAGCTATTTAGAACGACCCATTCTTTCAAAAATGTTTGTAAAGGCAGACCGCTTGGCTAGGTGCTTGATTGTATACACCTGTGGCAATGGGACTGAATTAAACATCTGAATACAATAAGACAGATAGAATTGGAGTAATGAAGGGATGAAACTCTCTTTAATGGTCACACATGCAGGGCACACAGCACACACAGTGACATTTGTTTTCTGCTTTTAACCCATCCTAGTAGCAGGACTCTAGTAGCAGTGGGCAGCTATTGTACAGCGCCCGGGGGGCAATGGGAGTCTTCCAATATTTTTGTTCATATAGTATATAAACCACCCATTTAACTGCAAAAAAGACAACCTAGTCTTTTGTGTCAGATAACCATAAATGCCATTCAGATTTAGTTTCCCTTCTTATGTCACATGCAAGCTCATTAGAATATACCATCACACTTCTGAGACTATCCACCAACAGCTTGAGATCTACCTTTGCAGAGGCGCACCATTATTTTGTAGAAGGCCCATCGGAGAGGAGTATTATTTATCAGGAGGGGGCTGAAAGAGAGAGGAGCTACAGAGCAGGTTTCAAATATTTAAGAAAGCATCAGAGAAGCAGAATTAAATGAGTCTTAGATCAGCTGGGTATCCATTTGCTAATTCTGTAGATGTATTCAGTGTTACTGTCCTGATTTTAGGTAGGCACACAGAACGCACACAGAACATGAATGTATTCTTAATGAATGCTTTTCACTGGGGCTGTGACTCACAACTATTTTCATAATAAATTCATACGCAGATTGTTTTCGCTCTGCCCATCCCAGTTTCTTACAGTCCAAGGGGATGATTGTCTTTTGTCAGGCCAAACAAAGATATTTAGTGGGATATGATACACCACAGAAAAGCAAGTCTATATTGGAGAGGTTGAAAACATTAAATTATTTATGGATTATCGGAAGAGTTGGAAAACATCTTTCTGTCAAACGACTAATTAATAAGTTGAACTAATGGTTGCAGGTTTACATATAGCTGACCTGAATACCCTGCTTCATCTTTAACTTAAACTAAGGATGAAAAAAGTAACTATTCCCTTCAATTAAATAAAACCCAAGAAAAGTTTCACATTTGTTTTGTCTTTTTAATAACCATCAGGCGAAACCCATATGACCATACATTTATGACAGGTATTCTTACAGTACACGACAGAACTCAGGGGGATCAGAGTCGCTGGCACGGCCGCGCCTGACCACTGAAAAGTAAGACATTCATCGTCATTAGATTGTTCCAACTTTAACATAGAGTTCACAAATGTATTCCGCGTTTGACTCGTATCAAACACGACAGTTTTTCTTGATTACCTAGCAAATTCTAAAGACCTTGATAGAAACAGCAGAGTAGAAAAAAACATTGTATAACAAGCAGAAGAATTCCTGATTTTATCTTATTTCCTGTCAAGATGCAAGAAGTACAATATATTGCTTTCAGGTGCTCAATTCAAAATGGGTACCCCGACACATTCTGTACTGCAGTCCGCCCCTCCACTCCTCCAATCATCTCCTGCCGTTCAAACACAGGCACAAAGTCTCCAACCTGGGCTCAGACTATCTAATGTTACACCACAAGGGGAGCTGCCATTTTAAACAAGATACAGGAGCTAAAAGATGAACAATCACAAAGATAGGACCAACAAGAGCAGCCCCTCCTCAAAAGTGCAGCTTTCTGTCACTTATCATCAATGAAGTATTTTCATGAAAACATAGAAAATATAAACTACAAAAGAAACTAAAACTCTTCCTGTTCACTGAGAGCGCAGGCCTTCAGCCTAAAACACAGTATCCAGTCACAGCGGAACAGTTGAGAGGACTTGATGGAGTACAAACGACACAGGGAGGAGTATTAAAGGTCCCATGTCATGCTTTTCCGGTTATTACCCGTCCCTTGTGTGTTATGAAGGTTTTTATGCGTGTAAACGGTCTGCAGAGTCAAAACCCCTCAAAGTAAACCCTGTAGGGAGTAAAACTCTAACACCTCTCCAAAACGCCTCGTTTGAGATTTCTCATTTTCCATTGTTTACTTCCTGGGTATCGCTACCCAGTAGCCACGCCCAGAACTATGGCCGTACCCTCTGCCAGCCTTTCACGAAACAAAGCTTCCCAAACCTTTCAGCGATTCATGCCGGATATGCACAGCGTAGAGCACTGAAGAACGATGCTGTTCCTACTTTGTTTGGACCAGCGGGAGATTCGGGTACACAACCTGTAAGTATTCATTGTTGTTTGTGTATTTATGATGTTTAAATCAAACAAGGTATCTACCACGACTGTTTAAATGGGTAAACGTTTTTCGGACTACCACGTTGAAATGCTCCCCGCAGACCCATTCTCACAGCGTTGTAAACCTTTTTCTTACTCAATATCAAGCCACACTTATTGTTTTTACTTTAGCTGTGAGTGTGTGTGCTCAGGATGAGTTTCGCTTGTTCTCGCTGTATTTGTTTCGCCGACACGGAAGACCTGCCTGCTCCTCGCAGCAGCTCCTCACGAGCAGCTGCACGTCTCTTGACCAATCAGAGCACACTGGGCTCACTACATTTATGCTTAACCTTGCCTGAAAATTACAATTAAAAAATGTTAATGCAGGATTTGATATGTTTTACAAGACATAAGGAATTCAGAGGAAAAGGAGCCGTTTTGAGCTCTGCTAAAAACTGCTTTTTTTTTTAACGTCAAACGCGTCATATTACGTCGCATGGGGGAGCAACTTTCTCAGACTCCTTCTCTGCCCAATCCGCGCTAGTAGTTGGTTTGAGCGGTTGTGATTTAGTGAGCTGGTATTTTTTCGGTAATTTTACATTGCATTTCACCATTTGTAATCATNCAACAATGGAACTGTGATCAGTAGAAATGGCCATGACATGGGACCTTTAATCTTAAAGAGCAACTTGCAGGTTTTTTTTTTTTACTACATTTATGCTTAACCTTGCCTGAAAA